GTTCTTATCTTCATTTCTCATTCATAAGTTTCCGTTCTGTTGTTTCATTGTGATTATCATAACGTTGATAGTTGCTTAATTACTTATAATGCAAATTAGCTTTCTATCTTTTGTTTTTTGCTTCTGTTGTTTTGATACCATTCTTATAACATTTTTTTCATTATCATTGAAGTTCCCTCCTTGTCTTATCCTTTATCCTTAAACTTTTATAGAAGTTTGTCTTCTTGAATTCATGTTAGTGGGAGAATTAAATTTTTTATGTAAGAATCATACAACTCATTTGATACAAGATCGAACTTTAACAATAAATAGCAAATATATTTTTTAATTAAACCAACGGTTTTGATGGTTAAGCGAATTTGTAGCAATATTGCGTAATTAACAAGGTTGAAAAGCAATTCAAACAAAAATTATCACTTATGAATTTTGAAAATTATTTTCCAGAGGGCGAAGTCGACTCGAAATTTGTATGAAGTCGAGTGAACTCAAGTCGACTTTTCCATACAAAATCCGAGTCGACTTCGCCCTCTGTTATTTTCATAAAAGTTTCAAGTTTAAATTTTCAAATAATAATTATTTGCTTAATAAGCATCATATTAGTTTTGCTGTTTATGCATAAAGACATTTATTTATTTATGCTCAATTTCTAATGTATTTAAAAATTAAATAAAGTTTTTGAACATATTCCCACGATTATAATATATTTTAAAAGCTTGGCTGCTTCTCAAAAAATTAGCAAGTTCATATTTAAAGTATATGTGCAAAATTGAGTTTCATATCAGCTTATGAACCATCTTATTGTATTATTATAATTAATACAGGGAGTCATATGAGTTATAGTTTTTTTGTTTTGTTGTCAAATTTGGTAAAAGCGATTAAAACGTAAATTAACGCGAAAAAAATTTCTCAACAAGTATAGACACGCTTGATCAAGAGATATTTATTGTTGATTTGTTTATAAATATTATTTTATTACGATTTAATTGAAGATTTTAATGTTCTTAGTTTTCATACTATCCTTGAGCTTATTTGATAGAAATAAAACTATAACAAATCTAAAGTTATGGTTTATGAAAAAATGACAGCTATAATCCAACAAATATTAATCATGGCATTTGATTTTTTGAAGTTGAAATTATAACAAAATCAATTGGAAGTTTCATATCAAATCAAAATTATTGACCTATTGCCCCAGAAATCCCACTTTAAAAAGTTTAACTCAATTTATTGTATTTCATTTGAAACGCAGACGTAATATTAGCAATATTTTATAATAAACACCATTATCACTATCAGTATTCCTAGTTCATTTGAGCGCCAGACACTTTAACAAACTTTCAATACAATGAACTTTAATATGGTTATGGATGAGCAAGCATGAAATAAAATACTGATATTAGAGATTATTTATAAGGTTCAAAATGCGATTTATAATATTATTTGTTTCAAATTTGAAATGATAGTGAAATATCATTAATCTTTAACTGATTGCAAAAAAAAAATGTAAATCAACTCATTGCGTAGTGTTTCTCGATTAGAATTGATAACCTTAATATACAAACTGCACCAATATAAAATACAAAGTTAAGGTCTATTAAGTTTTATTCAGTGGATGTTTTTTTTTTTTCTAGGAAAATAATTTACTTTGAATTCTTCTTCTGAGACATTATTGCTTAGCATAAGAATGAATAGGTAGTAAATATCCTTTTCCCGGCACGTTCGTTTTTTTCCCTGTTCATAATTGATAAAATGAACTCGCTTTATACTTGCTTCTTGCGTGTTATTCAATATCTCTTAATTATGATTCATTGTTTAACACAATATTTTTAAGGTAATTTTTAAGACCTACGCTTGCCAAATGTTTATTATAAAATTCGTGGCAAAAAAATTAAACAGGAAATGAAACTCTTGCCTATTTTTGCGCATTTCTTACGTACACCAGTTAGCTAAAAAAACGCCAACTTAAGATCAGAATAAATTGCAATTTAAACCCTGTTGAATGTTATGAAATTTCGTCACTAATCGATACAATTAAAACAAGGCTAAAAAATTAGCACCTCAATATTTATACATTACCATCAAGCACGTTCTCAGTGATTGTGCCGTTCTAACCATTAAACCTCAATTAAGTAATTATTGTAAATAGAGAGACAGAAAGAAACAATCACAGACAAAAATTTAAAATTAAATGTCATAAAAGGAAATGAACAGAGAATTGTACATTCAGTTATGGCTGTAAAAGAGCCGAGTTATTGTTCATTGTATTTTTACATTGGCAACGTTGTCTAATTTTCATGTTTCTTAATCATTGTTTATTCATTACAATTCCAAAATGCCGACTAATACCAACTCATAACAATTGATCACTTCTTGTATGGTAGAGAATTTCATGGCTTAACCACGCTATAGAACATAGATAGGTATAACAATAGACATTACACACATGTATGGTGACATTTTTTAAATTGCAAAACTATTGAAAAATGTTTTGTGTGTCGATGACATCGCTAGGTTAAATTATCTTTATATTGTCATTAAATGCGTCAAGTTGGCATGAAATATGTGAGAAAACTGTGTTGATAACAAACTGTTACACGACGGGGATGAACAAGAAATTTCCATAGAAAATTTGAGAGGAAATTAATGGCTATAATTGTAGATTAAATATAAATATGATCAGATAGGATTTTGTATTTCATTAGTGTTCAAAAATAACGCAATTTATTAGATTTTCGAATTTCAAGTGTACAGAAACAGTGTTGATGATTCGAATTAGGAAATGATTACGATGGTATGTTTAGCTTTTTTTTTCATAAAAAGTTCAATATGCCGACTAAACATACAGAAATTATGCGAAAGCAATATGCAATATTGCGAGACTATACACGAAATTAAACATGATAGAAAGAGAAGAAAGAAAAAAAGCAAGAAAATGACTAGCAACAAACAATTTAAAAAAAATTGTCTTGAACAAGCCTCAGCACTTTCCAATTTTCGCTTTCTTTTTTCTCTCTCTTTCGATCACTATCGTTTATTCATTCAATGAAGAGAATAACATGCAACGAAAATGTATAAATGAATGACTTTTATAGAAGAATATATAATACATATTGAAAGTGAAATGAACGGCTTTTCTATGTAATTTCAAGTTTGTTATTTTACAATATATTTGATTAAAATACTTCAAATGGTCTAAATTTAATTTAACGTTTGAACCTGTTTATTCAATTTTATCTAATAATTAAAAATCGTCGGATTTTTTAAAATCTTAACTTTAGTGATTCTACGCAATTGTACTGTTATTTGCATCACCTTATTTTTACTTAAATATAAATATTTTCACTTGTCTCAACTAAGAGCTCATGTAAATAAATCTACTACTTAAGTTTCTTTTTAATGGCATCAGCAAAACGGAAAAGTTTCATGAAGCAGGAAATTTATGAAATATTAAATAAGGAAGTTTGTGCTTCATATTACTCATTCTTTCTTCTTGTTTTTACACGTTTTTTTTTTAAATTTTGCTTTTTTGTTAGTATTTTCCCATAAAGTTCATGCAGCGTAGCCTCTCTATACAATTATATTTGTCATTTTTGACATCATTATTACACTTTTAGAATAGCATGTGTAAATGATAATGAAAGAAACGCAACAGTTGTTGATTTGATGAGTCAAATGAGAGAGAGGTCAATTCCAATTAAGAGAATAAAAAAAAAATTCTCTTCTTTAATGAATCAGTTAAGACTTTTTAGCCTCGAACTATTGCGAAAATGAGTTAAATTTAAATTGATATTTAGCCTAATACACTTAGTTATTTTTGGCACACATGTCAATAAAAAATTTCTAATGACAATAAAATGATCATATAAACCTATAGCTTATGGATATTATAAAACATTTAAAATAACAGGTGATTATTATTATTTTAAAAGTAAATTCATGCGTGTTGTTTTGTATAATTTATATAAATCTGAACAATATTCGTGAAATTTAAGATTATTAAAAATGGAATTTCCAAAAATTGAAATATTTTTAATGGGCGTAGACCGAAAACCTTTATATTTATTCTAAAATGAAATAATCTTTGGCATTGAGTTGGAAGAAAATAATATCAAACAAAAGACTAGAATAAACGAGAATTTGTGTATGATCTTCTGCATTCTTGCCATTGTTTCATCGATGCGAAATACATTTTCAATGACGTCATCTGTATATTTTGAGCAAAATCTTCTCTTTGATAATTTAACGCATCATAAAAAAATACAAACGAAGAAGGAATGTCGTCACGGAATTTTTTAATGATTCAACAACTCTCGAAGTTTTTTTCTGGCTGATAAAATTTTTGTTTCAATGTAAAATACAACGAAGAAGAAATAATTCATGCATGTTTTTCTTTTCGTTTTTCTACAATACTTGAAACAAATTCAAGATACCAGCCAAAAATGAGTAAATTCTGCGGAACAGCTGATAATTGAAATAAACAAAATAATGATTTTAAAGCATCATGATTCATAAATAAATCTTTAGCGCATTTGCTTCCAGATTCAAAAATACGTATGGATCTCTTCTACAATTCAGTTTTCAGAAAATATTATGCCCACGCAAGTCAATCACCTCAGATGAAAAATAACGCATTACAATCTTGTCAATTTCATGTCAGTCTTCTTCCCACAAATTTCTGTTATTACGAATTAGCAAAAAAATGAAAGCTTTGATCGCCTGAAGCCTGTGTCTTTATTAAAGTTCAGATTTTGTTTACTATTGTTGTATAACGACGTATAGATCATTACTATAAATAGCTGAGAGAAATGAATATTTTCAATATGTGACAGTAATGTATAATTTAGTGTGCATGAATTGAAAGTAATTGTCAATTTAGAGACTTGAAATACGGCGCAAACATGATAAAGTTGTTTGGATGATGACGAGAACGTCATAAGCAAAAGTTTTTTTTTAAAAGAAGTTTAAGCGATTATTTTGTTAGAAGTAAATTGTCAACTTACAACACTCCTGAGCATGATGTACAGACGAAAGATCCAATAGTCATGTTGACATATGTTACTCCTCGTTGTCCGCAATCAAAACATTGGCGATTGCTTCCTGAAGATACGATTTCACGCAAGGTTTTCAACATTTTATCATTATCTTGCTTTGGTTTGAGCATTTTGTCCACTTTATTGCTATTTTTCAAACTTCCTTAACTTTTCTTTATACAAAAATATTTCGTTGAATATCAATCAACTGATCCTGTATTTCCCTTGTTAAACTTTTTTAGAACTATTTTATGTAAGGGAATTGCACTTATTTTTCTTTCACAAAACTTGACTGGATCTCATTTTTTTCTTGTAAAACATCAGATTTTCTTCATTAACTGCGTTTCAATTTTTTCCACACAAATATAAATAAATTGAATAAGTGGACACAATAAATCAGAACTTTTAGACAAACAAAGAAGAAATATTCCTTTCTTAAATAATTTTTTAAAACTTTCACAAAAACATTGAAAAATATTTTTTTTATAATAAATTCATCATTTAGACGTGTTTTTACCGATATTTTTATAGACAAACACAAAGAACATTAATTATCAATGTGATCTTCAGTTGATCAGGCTCACTTCTGCGATCTAATCACTATGAAAATTTAGAAATAATTGAATTAAAAATCAATTTAATGTTTTTGCTCGAAAATCACACACACATACTGCTACAATTTTTTTCTAATACTAATGCAACTTTTACAAAGAGGGGAAAACAACATAAACATTTATTCAAAACTTTTTTTACCGTTATTATTGAGATGTCTTTGCGCTACTTTGCTACCTTTAAATTTCATGGATGAAACTTAATTTCTCTTCCTTTACTACAAAATTAAATTAAAGAAATTTTCTTTTATAAAAATTTTATTGACATTGGATTATGAAACTCAGCTCAAAGTAGAGCACAATCCACATATTATGTATCAAAACTGATCTTCTAATTACGTCTAATTTCGTCCCACATACATGTAAAATCCTTATGATTTGATGCATAACATGTACTTAATTTTTTTCCCAAATTTTTGGACATGCTCAGATACGAGGCTAAAATGCACTGGAACTGCATGAAAATATAAATATATTTTGACATACATTATGGTCCTAGTAAATTTTTGAAACTTTGATGATGTTCAGGTACGAGATGGAGCTGGAACTGCAAAATGGCAGGTTAGACTTAAATAGTTCCGCCAGATTTAAGCTTCTGACAAAAAGTAGACGTGTTTTGATAAACAACATGATAAGTTTTTAAAAGGAAAAAATATTGGTCCACAAGTACTACTGTCCAAAACTTTGGTAGTCAATAACTCTTGCTGTTTATATCCAGTTCCAAAATTTTTTGCGGGACGAAAGCGGACGTAATCAGTAGATCAGATTTGATACATAATGTGTTTAATTAAAATTCGTAATTGGTTTTCGCTGAAAAAGGGAAGATACCCAAATATTGAAAGTGGTTTATCCAGTCATAGGAAGTAGATCGAAAATATTAAAATGCGGGACGTAAATGGACGTAATATGGACGTAATTCTGACAAAATTTCAAGTTGATCTGAGAACCTGTTCCCGCTGACTTCTTACACATTTCAAAAATTAAAACTCGAAAAAATTTGAGTCATAAAAGTAGAAACTCAAAAATGTTGAATTCCAAAATTATCCAATCAATGATTCTATGTAAATCAAACAGAGCTCACATTGAATTATTTTTCACATTATTACTATTATTACATAAATAATTTATGATATATCATTTTAAAGGTATAACTATGTCCTTTTAGGAACCAAAATCCGTTTTGGAATTAATTGTGTAGTTTCTGTGCAAATTTAATTTGAATAATACATCAAACAAAAAAAATAATTTCTTAATACCGAAATTTTCAAAAATGATCTTGTTTGCTACACTTTAATCAGCTGTATATGCTTAATATTGTTCTCTTTCAAAAAGCGTTTGATGTTCCTCCATTTAAAGAGAACAGAAATATTACTGTGAAATAACCTTAAAGCAGAACTTAAACTTGCTTTTAAACAACAACTTAGTTCTTTAAATTAAGCTTTTTGCCAAATATTTTGAAGAACTTGGAGCTACAGACGAAATTCCATTAATCTACCTCTTGAATAAAAGATCATATAAAGATCAAATCACCCTTTATTTCTAATAATTTTTTAAATTTTAACAAATTGGCAAGATTCATTGTTCAATTTAAGAAAAATGCCATAAGAAGAATTTTAATCGTATTTTTGAAAATAAACCAACATTGATTGACTAGTCCTCGTTATACCCGTACTTTTAAAAAACAAAACAAATTGACTAGCTCTTAATTATGAAAATTTCAAAAAGTGCTCACATTGAATTATTTTAAACATTATTACTATTATTACATACATACTTTATGATATATCATTTTTAAGGTATAACTATGTCCTTTTAGGAACCAAAATCCGTTTTGGAATTAATTGTATAGTTTCTGTGCAAATTTAATTTGAATAATACATCAAACAAAAAAAATAATTTCTTAATACCGAAATTTTCAAAAATGATCTTGTTTGCTACACTTTAATCAGCTGTATACGCTTAATATTGTTCTCTTTCAAAAAGCGTTTGATGTTCCTCCATGTAAGGAAACAGAAATATTCCTGTGAAATAACCTTAAAGCAGAACTTAAACTTGCTTTTAAACAACAACTTATTTCTTTAAATTAAGCTTTTTTGCCAACTATTTTGAAGAACTTGGAGCTACAGACGAAATTCCATTAATCTACCTCTTGAATAAAAGATCATATAAAGATCAAATCACCCTTTATTTCTAATAATTTTTTAAATTTTAACAATTTGTCAAGATTCATTGTTCAATTTAAGAAAAATGCCATAAGAATAGTAGGCAAAAAAGCTTAATTTAAAGAAATAAGTTGTTTTTTAAAAGCAAGTTTAAGTTCTGCTTTAAGCTTATCTCACAGTAGTATTTCTGTTTTCGTTAAATGGAGGAACATCAAACGCTAGGAAAGAGGACAATATTAAGCATATATAGCTGATTAAAGTGTAGCAAACAAGATCATTTTTTAAAATTTCGGTATTAAGAAATTATTTTTTTTGTTTGATGTATTATTCAAATTAAATTTGCACAGAAACTACACAATTAATTCCAAAACGGATTTTGGTTCCTAAAAGTACATAGTTATACCTTTAAAATGATATATCATAAAGTATGTATGTAATAATAGTAATAATGTATAAAATAATTCAATGTGAGCACTTTTTGAAATTTCCATAATTAAGAGCTAGTCAATTTGTTTTATGTTTTTTAAAAGTACGGGTATAACGAGGACTAGTCAATCAATGTTGGTTTATTTTCAAAAATACGATTAAAATTTCAACTTTTGTTGCAAACATTATTTAAGTTTGATTTTGTGACTTGTGCGATTTTTCCATACATTTACATAATAAATCAAACAGAGCTCACATTGAATTATTTTTCACATTATTACTATTATTACATAAATAATTTATGATATATCATTTTAAAGGTATAAATATGTCCTTTTAGGAACCAAAATCCGTTTTGGAATTAATTGTGTAGTTTGTGTGCAAATTTAATTTGAATAATACATCAAACAAAAAAAATAATTTCTTAATACCGAAATTTTCAAAAATGATCTTGTTTGCTACACTTTAATCAGCTGTATACGCTTAATATTGTTCTCTTTCAAAAAGCGTTTGATGTTCCTCCATGTTAGGAGAACAGAAATATTACTGTGAAATAACCTTAAAGCAGAACTTAAACTTGCTTTTAAACAACAACTTATTTCTTTAAATTAAGCTTTTTTGCCAACTATTTTGAAGAACTTGGAGCTACAGACGAAATTCCATTAATCTACCTCTTGAATAAAAGATCATATAAAGATCAAATCACCCTTTATTTCTAATAATTTTTTAAATTTTAACAATTTGTCAAGATTCATTGTTCAATTTAAGAAAAATGCCATAAGAAGAATTTTAATCGTATTTTTGAAAATAAACCAACATTGATTGACTAGTCCTCGTTATACCCGTACTTTTAAAAAACAAAACAAATTGACTAGCTCTTAATTATGAAAATTTCAAAAAGTGCTCACATTGAATTATTTTAAACATTATTACTATTATTACATACATACTTTATGATATATCATTTTAAAGGTATAACTATGTCCTTTTAGGAACCAAAATCCGTTTTGGAATTAATTGTGTAGTTTCTGTGCAAATTTAATTTGAATAATACATCAAACAAAAAAAATAATTTCTTAATACCGAAATTTTCAAAAATGATCTTGTTTGCTACACTTTAATCAGCTGTATATGCTTAATATTGTTCTCTTTCAAAAAGCGTTTGATGTTCCTCCATGTAAGGAAACAGAAATATTACTGTGAAATAACCTTAAAGCAGAACTTAAACTTGCTTTTAAACAACAACTTATTTCTTTAAATTAAGCTTTTTTGCCAACTATTTTGAAGAACTTGGAGCTACAGACGAAATTCCATTAATCTACCTCTTGAATAAAAGATCATATAAAGATCAAATCACCCTTTATTTCTAATAATTTTTTAAATTTTAACAATTTGTCAAGATTCATTGTTCAATTTAAGAAAAATGCCATAAGAAGAATTTTAATCGTATTTTTGAAAATAAACCAACATTGATTGACTAGTCCTCGTTATACCCGTACTTTTAAAAAACAAAACAAATTGACTAGCTCTTAATTATGGAAATTTCAAAAAGTGCTCACATTGAATTATTTTAAACATTATTACTATTATTACATAAATAATTAATGATATATCATTTTAAAGGTATAACTATGTACTTTTAGGAACCAAAATCCGTTTTGGAATTAATTGTGTAGTTTCTGTGCAAATTTAATTTGAATGATACATCAAACAAAAAAAATAATTTCTTAATACCGAAATTTTCAAAAATGATCTTGTTTGCTACACTTTAATCAGCTGTATATGCTTAATATTGTTCTCTTTCAAAAAGCGTTTGATGTTCCTCCATGTAAGGAGAACAGAAATATTACTGTGAAATAACCTTAAAGCAGAACTTAAACTTGCTTTTAAACAACAACTTATTTCTTTAAATTAAGCTTTTTTGCCAAATATTTTGAAAAACTTGGAGCTACAGACGAAATTCCATTAATCTACCTCTTGAATTAAAGATCATATAAAGATCAAATCACCCTTTATTTCTAATAATTTTTTAAATTTTAACAATTTGTCAAGATTCATTGTTCAATTTAAGAAAAATGCCATAAGAATAGTAGGCAAGTTTAAAGTTCTGCTTTAAGGTTATTTCACAGTAATATTTCTGTTCTCCTTAAATGGAGGAACATCAAACGCTAGGAAAGAGGACAATATTTAGCATATATAGCTGATTAAAGTGTAGCAAACAAGATCATTTTTGAAAATTTCGGTATTAAGAAATTATTTTTTTTGTTTGATGTATTATTCAAATTAAATTTGCACAGAAACTACACAATTAATTCCAAAACGGATTTTGGTTCTTAAAAGTACATAGTTATACCTTTAAAATGATATATCATAAAGTATGTATGTAATAATAGTAATAATGTATAAAATAATTCAATGTGAGCACTTTTTGAAATTTCCATAATTAAGAGCTAGTCAATTTGTTTTATGTTTTTTAAAAGTACGGGTATAACGAGGACTAGTCAATCAATGTTGGTTTATTTTCAAAAATACGATTAAAATTTCAACTTTTGTTGCAAACATTATTTAAGTTTGATTTTGTGACTTGTGCGATTTTTCCATACATTTACATAATAAATCAAACAGAGCTCACATTGAATTATTTTTCACGTTATTACTATTATTACATAAATAATTTATGATATATCATTTTAAAGGTATAACTATGTACTTTTAGGAACCAAAATCCGTTTTGGAATTAATTGTGTAGTTTCTGTGCAAATTTAATTTGAATGATACATCAAACAAAAAAATAATTTCTTAATACCGAAATTTTCAAAAATGATCTTGTTTGCTACACTTTAATAAAAGCTGTGTACGCTTAATATTGTTCTCTTTCAAAAAGCGTTTGATGTTCCTCCATGTAAGGAGAACAGAAATATTACTGTGAAATAACCTTAAAGCAGAACTTAAACTTGCTTTTAAACAACAACTTATTTCTTTAAATTAAGCTTTTTGCCAAATATTTTGAAGAACTTGGAGCTACAGACGAAATTCCATTAATCTACCTCTTGAATAAAAGATCATATAAAGATCAAATCACCCTTTATTTCTAATAATTTTTTAAATTTTAACAATTTGTCAAGATTCATTGTTCAATTTAAGAAAAATGCCATAAGAATAGTAGGCAAGTTTAAAGTTCTGCTTTAAGGTTATTTCACAGTAATATTTCTGTTCTCCTTAAATGGAGGAACATCAAACGCTAGGAAAGAGGACAATATTTAGCATATATAGCTGATTAAAGTGTAGCAAACAAGATCATTTTTTAAAATTTCGGTATTAAGAAATTATTTTTTTTGTTTGATGTATTATTCAAATTAAATTTGCACAGAAACTACACAATTAATTCCAAAACGGATTTTGGTTCCTAAAAGGACATAGTTATACCTTTAAAATGATATATCATAAATTATTTATGTAATAATAGTAATAATGTGAAAAATAATTCAATGTGAGCTCTGTTTGATTTATGTATGCAAACGGAAATTGGAGCTTTGTACGAGTTGACATAAAACATGGAAATGATTTAAGATAAAATTATTGTAGTCTTAGAATGGATGTCTTATAGATCTAATGAGCCCGTTTTACTCTTTAAGGAAGGGGCTTTTTAGAAATACAAATTTAGGAGCCATAAGAAAATTGATAAATTAGTTTATTAAGTTAATAGTTCTAGTTGTTTTTTTCTGCTGACTTTCAATTAACGACCAAAAAAATTTGTACTTATTTTGTTTGCATAAGTTTGTGATTTTGGGCATTACTGGGCATTTTCGTTGTATAATTGTGGGCATTTTTTGGTAAGAAGTTTTCATCCTCTGTTTTTCTCCTTGATTTTACTTAATTATGTACTTTTAGGATCATAATGCCGGCTCCAAAGACACAAGATTTACCTCCAAATGGTGGATATCAGAAGATTAAGTTTGTTCGAGTTCCAGCTAAGACTTTATTCTCCGGTTTTCAAATAATTGGAGCTTATGTTGGTGAGTACGATAAAAAAAAATACATTGATTTAGTCAAGATAATAGCTAATTGTTTTGTTTCTAGGTATTACTTCATTTGCTGCCTACATCTATTATCTTACATACAAACAAATCCAACGTGAAGAGATAGAAATGAGATCCTGTAAATTGGCACTTATGCCTATGTTAATTGCTGAAAGAGATCGAGAATTTCTTAAACAAGTGCGTAGAAATCGTGATGAGGAATCGAAACTCATGAAAAATGTTCCTGGTTGGGTTACTGGTACATGGTACGGAGAACCAATCTACAAGACTAAACCAAAAGATTACTTCGATGAAGGAACTTGGGATGATTTATGCGTCCATTCAAATTATCGCACTAGTGCTATTCGTCAAAATTTCCATCTCTGGAACTAAGTTTCATAATATATTAATTATTTAATGCTGTAAAACAAAGATCCCAAAATTAATATTGGGCAACATATAAAGGATAGTTGAGTAATAAAAATCCACAAGTTGAAATCTTTCAGATGGAATTCTCTTCTTTTTATTCTTAATGTTTTCAAATGTACAAATTCATTTTATTTGTACTCAAATTCTTAATAAAAACACATTGATGTAAAGTGATTAAAATGCTTAATCGAAAAGTCCGAATCCCATGTCATCGTCTGATTCTGCTTCTGACTCTTCCTTCTTCTCTTCTTTCTTGGCTTCAGCTGCAGCTGGGGCAGCAGCTAAATTGAATAGAGTATAATTAACATCTCAAAATCGACTTAATTAAAAGTTTAAATTAGCTTACCTGATGCTGGGGCAGCACCTGAAGGAGCACCACCTGATCCAGCTATAAATTAAAATGGAATCATGTATTAATAAACACTTCTTGTGAATGTTTTGTTTGTAAGTTTGTTACCTCCAGATCCGATGTTTGTGATCAATGACTTGACATCGATACCATCAAGAGCCTTTGCGAAAAGTCCTGGCCAGTATGGCTCAACATCAACATTGGCAGCTTTAAGGATGGTTGAAATCTTTTCTCCCTTAAAAATATAACAAATGCAATCAATCGTATGGAATTTAACCTTAAAATTTACTTTAACTAATTTTGTCAAAAAATGACATGTCTCGATAGTTTAATTAATATGTGTATACCCAGAATCTTTTAATAAATAAGGATATCCTCTAATTAACCATAACTCATGTGTTTAATAGTATGAAATAATGAGAAACTTACTGTAATGGCGATATCATCATCAACCAAGATTAATGCAGCATAAACGCAAGCCAATTCACTCTTATCCATTTTAATTTGATAGTTTTATTACTTTTACGGTTGTGCAAGTTGAATTTAATTAATTCCTTAGCTTCAAATTATGAAGGACAAGCACGGATATTTTCAAACGATGTGACTTCTTCAAAAGTTTGTGTAAGAAAGAACGAGTATAGAAGACTTCCTCTCAATGTTTACCAGTGAGCGTGTTTTACGCATATCAAAAATCGAGCTATTTTCTCAACAGCTTCATAGAAAGCTGCAGAGAAAATTTAATTAAATACAAATCATTATAATGCACATTTCTAATATTATACTCAGGCTAATCATTGTGTATTTAATTAAATATAATTCAAAAATATTAAGCATTGATAGAACGAGGTTTGGTTCTGTGTAAAAAAATTAAGGGGAACTGAACTACGAAATTAAGTGTCAACATTTTTTGTGTATTAAAGTATTTTGTTCAATTTTAAACTAACCAGCGATTCTATAATTAATAAAAAGCACTTAAAATTGTTTGTCTATAGCCGCTTCAAGAGATTTTATTAAATTGAAATAGAAGAAGAGCCAGGATTATATGAAAAATGTCATTTTCATCGGACGAAGTTAATTTTCTTGTTTATAGATATTTACAAGAATCAGGTATGAGAAAAATAGCGGTAAATGTGATGGAATGAAATGAAAGTTATTATCTTTGCAACTTACAGGATTTTTGCATTCTGCTTATATGTTTGGCATTGAATCGCATATATCTCAAAGTAATATAAATGGCGCGTTAGTTCCTCCAGCAGCTCTTTTGTCAATCATCCAGAAAGGATTGCAATATACGGAAGCAGAAATAAGCGTTGGAGAAGATGGTCTGTTGCTTTTAACTATAATCGATCTTCTGATTTATCGTGTTTATTTGTTTTTAGGAACAGAGACGAAAATCGTGGAGAAATTGAGTCTTATTGATGCTGTTATGCCGGAAGTAGTTGCAAATCGTCAAAATCAATTGAATAAAACAAAAGCTACGCTGGCTGAAACGACGGAAACGAATGGAGAACAAACAACTGAAGCAGCTAGTTCAACTGGTCAAGAAAAGACAGATGGAGCAATTAAAGATGATCCAGATGCTGACAATTTCATAGAAATTTCTCAAAATAAAGCAACAATATTGCGAGGCCATGAGAGTGAAGTGTTTATTTGTGCTTGGAATCCTATGCGTGATTTATTAGCCAGTGGTTCTGGTGATTCAACTGCCCGAATTTGGGACATGTCAGATAATGCATCATCCAGTAATCAATTGGTTCTACGTCATTGCATCAAACAGGGAGGAGCAGAAGTTCCATCAAATAAGGATGTTACATCATTAGATTGGAATTGTGATGGAACTTTTTTGGCTACTGGTTCTTATGATGGCTACGCTAGAATTTGGACAACAGAAGGACGCTTAGCAAACACATTGGGACAACATAAAGGTCCAATATTTGCATTGAAATGGAATAAGAAAGGAAATTTCATTTTATCTGCTGGCGTTGACAAAACTACAATCATTTGGAATGCTGTAACGGGTGAATCACATCAACAATTTTCATTTCATAATGCGCCAGCACTTGACGTCGATTGGCAGACAAATACGTCATTTGCAAGTTGCAGTACTGATCAGCAAATCCATGTTTGTAAATTGGGAGCTGACAAACCTATAAAGACATTTATTGGTCATTTGGTAAGCTTTTGTAAAATTGTATTACTGTGACGAATGAATTATTATTTTCTTTTATCACCTTCAGAATGAAGTAAATGCTATCAAGTGGGATCCACAAGGTCAATTACTGGCGTCTTGTTCCGATGATATGACTTTAAAAATTTGGTCAATGAATTTCGATTCATATGTACATGATTTGCAGGCACATTCAAAGGAAATTTATACAATCAAATGGTCACCGACTGGTCCAGGAACAGCAAATCCTAATATGAATCTTATTTTAGCTAGTGCAAGTTTTGATTCGACAGTTCGCTTATGGGATGTTGAACGAGGAACTTCTATTCATACATTAACAAAACATACTGAGCCTGTCTACTCTGTAGCATTCAGTCCAGATGGTAAATATTTAGCATCGGGAAGTTTCGACAAATGCGTTCACATCTGGAGCACACAAACAGGAGCTCTTGTGCACAGTTATCGTGGAACAGGAGGAATATTCGAAGTCTGTTGGAATTCAAAAGGCTGCAAGGTTGGCGCTAGTGCATCTGATGGATCCGTTTTTGTTTTAGATTTAAGAAAACTTTAAAGTAAATGTTTATTTTTAAAAGAAAATTAATTGACGATTCTCATAAATGAGACAATACAAAACATTAAGAAAAAAAAATTAAGATCCGATTAAGAGCATTTGTATACTTGCAGATGACATTAAAAAAAATTGTTTTGAAACAGAAATTTTAAGATAGTAAATAATATTATGTGTTAATTTAATAAGTTAATTGTAATGATAATAGATAATTCCCTTTTTAAATCTTACTTTTTTTCCTCCTGCACACGACACAAAAAAAAAGATAATGAGAATGGGAATTTTACAAAAAAAAAAAAAATAATAAATTTAAAAAAATCAAATCGACTTTATTTTATAAACTGAATCGTATTAGATGGAAATGTCAAAATAAAACTTGTATGAAGAGCAAAATGCTTTAATAAGATTAATTGAGACAACAAATAAAAACACAGGAAAGAAAATTTAAATCAATGAAGTGTTAAAAGTCACATACTGCAACTATGTTGAAATTCTATCAAATTCCATTGCACGTGAAACTCACAAGTGATCTATGATGGATGGCTAATACAATCTTGCTCAGTATATTTTTGCATAGACTCGATTAATCGTTATGGAACTGTATTTTTTAATGAAGAGAACTTATCAAAGTCATACAAATTAATATGATCATTTCAAATAGCTGTTACGTTAATCATAAAAAGAAAAAAAAAACTAGGGAATGTACAGTGCAATCTATAAACATGTCATAATCGTCACTTTCAATGTAATATGTAGCTTTGAGATTACATTTAAAGGACATCAACAAGTCTAAGGTAAACATTTTTTTTCTTTGATGTTTTGTTTTGCTTAAAATTAGGAAGCTTTTCTCAGTTTTGTTGGGTGCACATTGGATGCACACAAAATCAGGTACATATTTATGCAACAATCCCTTTGTGATGCATTGCTCCGATGAACTAATAAATCACACCGTATTCTTACGTACATAATTTTCTTGATAGAAAAATGCATTAGAAAACGAACTTTCTTTATACATTTGCACAAAAAAGGAAGGAGAGTGAGAAGAGATTATATTGAGTTTTTAAAATTAAGCTGTCGTTGTATTAAGAACATTTGAGAGGGCTTCAAATATGCTTTCAGGAGAGACAATTACCATAAACAATTTAACCAATCATATATCGTATAATTTTGGGGGCTCGTCTATTCGAACGCACATTCATGCCTACTGATTCACGGAAAATCAGAAAATTTTCTCAGATTGAGTTGTCAAAGCTTCGCTCAAGTGGAAGAAAATTAAGACTTAAAGTACTGACACATGTTTATGAGATTCGAGAGAAATCTTATGTATGTCTCTTGTGAGTAGAAATAAAAATCTAGAGAGTCCCCAACAAGATCAATTTTTATATTTTCATATTTACACATGTGTGTATGTAATCGCCAGCTTTGTTTAAAGTCATGAAAGTATGATTGATAAGTATGATTGAATTTACGGAATATAAATTCTGATTTTAAGACTTATACTCGTTCAGTTGCATTTGTGGATTTCGTTCGGTCGGAAGTTCCAGCATAAGAATAGTCTGTGTTTTTATTATAAGTTATTTATTTTATGTGAAAAGTGAATTTGTTCTATTTTCTTCATAAAATTAAATATAGTTAAAAAATCATTTGATATAAAAATAGAAGAATAAACAAATAAGGAAGAGAAAAATTGACACATTGAGATTTTTGCTTGAAACGAGCTTTAAAGCTCAATTCAGCACAAAAAAAATAAAACTGCAAAAAATTAATCGTTTAAAAAATATAGTACAAAGTTTAAAATGAACATTTTTCACAAAATTAAAATGCCATTAACACACAGATTAAGTTTGTTATATATTATTTTAATCAGTGGCTTTAAATTGGGCATGGCAGCTCCAACTGATAGCAAAAAAGGTAAGAAATGGAAATAGGTGAAACGTGGAGAATTCGTTTTGGGTGTTGCTTATTATACATACATCTCCTCTTGAGATGGATTAAACAGTTGCGAAAATGTGTTTAGCAAAAAAAAAAGGCAATTAATGAGATTGAAATTTTGTCCTAGTTGGAGGTGAATCCGGGTGAATAAATTTACTGAGTATTTAAAACTTAGAAGAACTTATGCTTATATTCGCTCGTTTCCAAACAGAACATTTTTTTGGTTCAATGAACTCTTTTTGCCGTAACTCATTACTTTTGGGAAGCCCACTTTCAAATGTGAGCTAGTTGGCTGTCAACAAAGTCTTAAAAACATAACAGAGTTAATTTTCAGATCTCATTCAATTATTATTTGATTTTTAAATACGGAATAATGTAAATGCTCAAAAACTAGTGTCCTTGTAGATTGACACCCTACGCATGATGAGCTTGGTTATTCAAAATCAATCATAAAGATTTCAATCGACGAGAATCAATAAGTACAAATGTCCTGACTTAAGCTCATTTTCTGTTGAAAATATGACTATCTCTCTTTAAAATTAATCAAGTTTACAAATTTTAATAAATTATTGGTAATCCTTTGAAAATTAGAAATTATTTTCTTAGTTTCATAATTCAAAATAAGAGCTCAAAAATGATTGTCCCACAAAGTTTCAAAGAAGGAAAATTGCAGACTTTTTTTTGTACAAATTTTCAAGGAATTCAATTTCACATAATCAAAATAAAAGAAAAAAAAATATAAGAATAATCTAATAGTTACAGCCAGTTACAGAAAACAGTAGCAGTAAAACCATTCTCTATTCACAAAGAATAAAATGTAATTTCGAAATGGGAATTTTATGCAAATTCATTTCGTGCCATAAAATTTCAATTAGTTAAATCACGTTTCCTGGAGAAGCCCAACCTTCTTTTTTTCTCCTCTTGCTTATTACATTTATGATGACAGCTACTATTGTCTCTATTTGAATATTTTCATTTTTCTCGTCCAATCCTACTTACTGAATTTTCCTCACATTCTTTTTTTGCAAGATATCGTCAAGTCGAATTCCAATTTAAAATTTAATTCAATTGAATTGAAAAAAGAAAAAAAAATGTTCATATACGTATGCTCATTGAGGTACAGGAATTGATGTAAATTATGCTATCTACATATTACACATACATATACATGTAAAGGCATGGAGAAAGAGAGGCCCAAAACATTACAAATGGGAATGAGAGAATGAAGACGCTTACGATAACGATGGATGATGAAAATGATTGCATGCAATGACTGAGAAAAGTAATGCCTTTAGAAAATAAATGTTATGCCAAAAATATGATGGAAAATTAATACACATTCTGTTCTCCCTTAACTCTCCATTATATACGATATAATTTACATTCCTTCAACAATGTTCCATATGAGTTGATACCCTGCGGAGATTTCTATGTTAACTCGGAGATTACCTAACAAGTTTATTTTTAACACAAAAAAATCTTCATTCCATCTCTCTCGTATCAATTGCTCTAATGATAATGACTTATTATGTAAGCGTAGCAAAATCGACGGAACCATCGCAATCATTCTACATGAGCTATAGATTTTTTATGCCAATTGTTCGGATTTTCCTTTCTATAATCTCAACGCTTCAAAAATAACACAATTTTAAATTCTTTGAAAATTTATTAAGGCTTGATTTTGTTATTGAATAAAATTTAATAACTTTTATAAAACTTTATTGATTAATGATGTTTTGCTTTTTTGCACTTTTTTATATTTGTTGTAAATTATTCAATTGCAAAATAATAAGTTTTTAAGTTCATGCATTTAAAAAAAAAATGTCTTAGTTTTTGAGAAACAAATTAAAAATAACACGAACTCTTGGAGGGTTGTTTTTAAAATGATTTAAATCAAAAATAAGATTTAATTCATTTACAATTTTTGTATAGAGTGTCGCATGAGAGCCCACTTTTTTTCAAAAGTTACACGTTATTTGGGAAAACCAGGAAGAATATAAACTATAATTCTAAATAAGTTCTTATCAAAAAATAATGGAATTTTATAGCTGACTACTGAAGAAATCCACTTTGTTTAACGACCTTCCTCAATATCCAATTTCTATACTGGATTCATATTTTACATCTTATTTTTTTTTAAAGTCTTTCAGAGACTGGCCCTTTTAGTAAGAATTTTAAAAGTAATCGACATTTTTCGAGATGCGACGAAATGTCTATAAAAAATGATAAGTCAATCTTACTATAACTACATACTACAAATAGTGGGACAAAATGTTTATATACAACGAGTACATAATTCACCGCATATGTCATTTTCAAAGTCATTCAGCCTCGCACACGACCAGATGATTATTTACATCATTTAAAGTTCACATTCAAAGAGAGGAATAACGTAAGCAATGGAGAACTTATTTTACAAATGAAAATGCAATAAATATTATTTTTAACTTGAAACTGACATTTTGAACTTGACAAAAGCTCTTATTTCTATTAAATTATATGTATACATTTATGATTAATAACGATACAGGCAGAATCTGTGTAGGAAATGAAGTGATTTTTCATAAAATTTGTTTACACTTATGATAACACGAAGTAAGATGTCTACACGGAAAGTGCGAAAAGCATATGATAGTAAAAATTAAAAGTGCCATTAAGCATGTGTTTCATTTTTATCGATTATTAATTTAAAATAATATGTTAAGGCCATGCCAATATGAATAATCATTGAAATGTATCAATCACCTCTTAAACACAATTAAAGACACACTTACAATAGCGCAGCATCATGTTTCATTTGTCGAATTCTCAATTTTTACGAACATTTATATTCGCCTCGTTTTTTTCAGTATTCTTTCGCATTTTTAAATTGTAGCCAGATTTGTCTGGAATCTCCTTGATTAAACTTCATCTCTGCGAAGCATTACGAGAGCGAATGATCTCTTATTTCTGTACATAATATTTCTGTATATACATATGTATATATAATAGAAATGAAAAATCATCAGCCTGATAAAAACTATTTTTATAATTCAAAGAATCACATAGCAACAGTCCCAAATTATTTCTTCATCAAATTTGTTAAAACTGAAAAATTGATGCTGAAATGTGCTAAGTGTGTTCAAAAAAAAAGACTAATCATATTAAATTTATGTTCTCTCGTGTTAATTTATGCATGAAAAGCAAATAGGTTTCTCGAAATTACTGTTGCGATGAGCGGAGTTTAGTATGCTAATGATGCAAGGGTGAAATATTTATAGCATAATTGACATCCTTTTATTGATTCTTCTGGGATGTAAATTTCAATATGTTTTATTGTGTAGTTATAACATAGCAACATCCAACATGCAGCAACATATATATCTAGTGTAAAAATTAATGTCATGCAGTTTTATTACTGATGATCAAGGCGGGAAAACGGGATGGAAACAAGAATGGTTAGACTCGTAGTAAATGAAAATGCCTCTAAAGTTTATCCAATAATCTAAACAGCGATTAAAGCTATGCCATGGGTCATGGTAAAATGAATAATCAGTAAATACGCTACCGAACTTGTCATCAAAAAAGCATTTGTTTTACATTAATTCGATTGGAATAAATATAATTTTAAAGAATTCACCAATTTGATGTGCTGTTTTTAATTGTTCGCTTTTAAAATATTATCATTATCTCATTTATAGAATGCATACTCCCACTTAAGCCAGATTGGACATTTTATTCTCCATTAATATTCACATTAAATGGAACACTAATATCAACCGAAAATACTGGTGACGATGTTGAAGATATAACGTTAAGTGCCGGCACAGAAGTTTTATTATCATGTACACCAAATTATTTTCGTGATAATCCCGCCGAAAAATCAATAAGAGCGATATGCAAAGAGGATCTCACATTGCGTAAGTATACTGATATAGTCCATAATAAATATATATTTTTAAATATTTATACTTTATTTTTTTTTTTATTCACAGTGGTCAATGGAGAAGAAAAAGATTTCGTTTCAGAGCTTTCATGTGATGCAAGAGCTATTGAAGAAATCATAACACCAATCCATGGATGTCCAAAAAATTTAAGAAATATTGAATATGGCTATACAAATCCAATAAAGCAAAAGTCATATGTGCTTGGTGAAGCATGCATTAGTACGAAAGGTGGAAGGACACTTTTTGCACACACACGTGTGAAATCTCCAAATAATGATGTTGCAGAATTAGCTCTAAAAGTCATGAATGGCGGTTACTTACGTTCGGAACATCCGACACCATTCTATCGTAATGAAATTGTCAAAGCATTACGTCCCGATGAATATGGTGAATATTTTGTACAAATACTGGGAACAAATAGTATTCCCAAAATAGGAATGCGAAAATTCATAAACGAAGATTTATTGACGCATAAACAATATCAATCAATATTAAAATTGGCATGGAACTATGCAATCATCAATGATGCAGATGAGTTGGAAAACTTACAAAAGTTACAAAAAGATATTTCAACATTACAAATGAAAACTGTCGACGTTTATTCTGGAACCCATGGGGTACTTTTAGTCAAAAATAATAATGATGAACAAACAGAACTTTTCTTAAAAGAAAATAAATTTCCTGTTCCCAAATTCATTTGGTATGTTGTAAAATCTCAAAATAAAGCGGCTGCATTTGTTATATTTAATCGAACTTCTGTATCAGATAAGGAAAGACAACGTGATACATTCTGTACAAGCAAGTGTGAAGAACTTACTTGGATTCATCATTTATTAGAAAATAAAAGTTTTAAAAAAGCTGAAAATGGACTTGTACTTTGCTGCGAATTTAATGAATTTAAACGTACTGTAAGTGAAATGCCAAATTTAGAGAATATTAATGAATTATTGAAATAGATTTAAATTGAATTAAAAAAAAATACTGAAAATGTGTAATTTTACTAACTTTGATCTTGCATATACAAGAAAAAATGTCTTAGAGATATAAAAAAAGAATTAAAGAATTAGGAAAATAGTTTAATTTAAAAATGCAATGTAATTCAAATTGAAAGCATAATTCCTAACTTGCAAGTGGCTACAATTTTTTTAAACAAACATTTCTGAACAAAATGAAAACGTGTAATCAGAAATATCCAATGTTGACATCATAATAAAATGCATATAATTGAATAAATAAATGCAGAATGATTGTATACTTTTTTGCATAAATAACATATCAATGGCATCAGATGTTTCCTACTAACTTAAATATTCATTCAAATGTTGGAAATAAGCACATCTTACTGCAATCTACTGCAATATCGTCAATATAACAATACTTTTTCCCAATAAGAATCAAGTGTTTAAGAGAAATTGATGCAAGATTTGTCAAAAGATAAAATTAAAATAAAGCTGAAATTGTGATTTTTGTAAAATTAAAATAATATGCTTCTTTAATTACCCCTTAGGAATTGATTAAAAGCTTAGCATTTTAAAACTCAAGTTTTTTGTACGTTCCCATGGACAACTGCATCGCCAGGTAAGACAATTACTTTCATATCAACTGTATTAAAATTTATGGAATAACCAGGAACAACACATTGTCAAATTAATAATGCAAAAAAATGAACTTTAAATTTTCATAAATTAAATACTAATTATATGAAAACGTGAGTCAAATATTAAAATTGAGGCACTGAATTTTTCAAAATAAACAAAGAAAAATTTTGCTCACGTAGGAAGTAAAAGAAAGCAAAAGTTTGTTCATGATAGAAGTAGAAAGTAGTGTGAAAAATGAATAAATGTAAAGGAAACAGGAAATTTACATTAAGCCACACTTAAAAACTTGTAGTTTTCTTATTCAGTCTCGTATACAACTATGACTTTGTTCAGAAGAAAAAGGATCATAATGTAATTTAAATAAATGTTGTAAGGCGGTATAAATGAAAACTAGGTACTTACCTTTTTGCAACGAAAAAAGCCCTTTTTCCAACTATCCATCTTTGACGTCAACTGCAGCATCTTCCTTTTACGATTGTCATTAAATATGCATGGGACGTGAGCTGTAAGCTGCCTGTAAATTTTACACTTTAGTTTTTGAAACATTGACTCAATATTATTTAGAACGAAAAAATTGGAAAGATACAGCCGTGTATGAACAGCTCCCTAACAGACAAAGAGCACGATCTGAGTTAGCGTACTCTCCCATACAAATGGAGATCGCAGCAGGGTACCACAGAAATCACGCTCTCAAGAGTACGCTTTTTTACTTGCAAATTTCAAATGCAAGTTAAACTTGAGATCATGATCAAGAACATGTTCTCCTGACCATGTATTAATTTTACTATTTAAAAAATTTTATGAGCTTGTGATTATGCTCTTGATCATGTTTTTGAGAAATTGATATTTTTTTTCTTCTTTTTTTGGTGATTGCCGTGATTCGAACCCGAGTATGCAGTGTTGTAATATGTCCTGATAACTATTCTTCTTGTCTAATGCCTTCTGAAATTGAATAACTTTCAAATGGTGAAAAGACATATTTAAACTATAAAGTCCAAAATAATTACTTATAAAAGTGATTTCTGCTTTCTCTTGTGAAGTATATAGGACCTATACTAGTGATTTCTGCTAGCGCTTGTGAAGTATAAAGCAAGAAAAATTTTAGCATAATCTCATGAGGATGTCAATGATCGTGCTTTTTATATACTCTTCTGATCATGCTCTTGAGAGTATATAAAAGATTATGAAATAAAAACTTGCATGCACGTTATTTATAATTAGAGTACGATTGATTCCGCTATTGAACATGCTCTTTACTGCGATCTTGAGAGGATGTTAAAAAAGCGTCTTCTCAACCGTACTCTTGAACAAGAGCATGCTCTTTGTGTGTTAAGCGCTTTTATTCAAAAATAACAATTTTTCGCTTTATTTTAATTCATAAGCATTAAACAATTCTATATTCAATTAATGTCAGCCAATTTCTTATCATTCGTAATAATACAATAAAAATCATGAAAAAAATAAATTTTTTTCAAAAAAAAAATGTAAATTTCACCATTTTTGCGCATTTAAACATGAAAAAAATATTGAATATTGAAAGAGAAAAAAAAAAAATCATTTTTTTCATCGTGTTTACATTAAATTGTCGCTACGTAAACACAGAATCAGTAAAATCGTATATTATTTATTCATTCCTTTTGCAAACATAAAAGGAGATTTGTTGCCTAGATGTACTGAAACTTCGGTGTTATTTCCGTGATAGTTTTTATTGTAAATAACAAAAATTCAAACCGAATTTTGGATTTAAATTTAAAAATATTTTGCTTAGTAAATTAAACAATTTTGATAAATGCATAATAAATTATCAAGAATTATAGAATAATCATTAAAAAACTTTTGGAAATTTCTCTAACGTGGTGTACAAAATTTGAATGCAAATCATGAAATACAATGATATATATCTGCCAAGAAAAAATCATGAAGAATTGTACGTTTCAACAAAATTGTCAGGACGAATACAAAATGAACAAAAGTAATATCCACATTTTTGCTTAATTTATTATGGAACAATGAACAACATTTTTTGCTAATTTCACTGTCACCAATAACACCACAATTTCTCTTTTTTGAAAGAAAGAAATATATTTGCATTTTTATAAGCAAATTATTTCCAAACAGTCTTTTCTTTATTGAACGCGGAAAGTAATCAACAAATAAATATATCTGACTCGTCACAACTTTAAAGAATGTTAATTCATATTTTAATCATAAAAAAATATCTTTCAACAAAACTTTTTAAATAAAAGTGTAGAATTCTTTTGTGATAATGCGCTCAGCGATTGTTGTGCATCATACATGAAATTCATAGGTGGACAATTTCTTCATAGACTACGTGATTTATAATTATTGCTTATATGCACAGCATGAAGTATATTATCGCTTTAAATGAAGTACATTTTAGGAGCTAATTATCACTTTCTCATATATCACTTACCAATTGACAACATTCTTTAAAATTTAATCTCTCTCATTCCCTGCATCTCTGCCTTCTCTATGTTTTATTCACTTTTTGTCATTTTATAAAAAAAAGTGATTAAATGCGTGAGTAGAAAAATTTATTTGCTATTTTTTGAGAATTCCATTTTAAACTTCACTTTCCAATGTCGTTGTTTATTTGAACTATAAAGACATATGATACGGTTATTTATTTTCTTATTTTCCCTTAACTTGCCTTAATTGGACACCTACAAAACACTTTCAATTTTCGCCTTAAACTTTATTTTATTTTTATACACATATGAATGAAACATAGCATAACGAATAGTATGATTTAATGTCTACATCCATAGTGACTCGCATCGTCAAAATGACATACATTTCAATTCATTTATCTTCTTTTCCATATTTCTTTTAATCATATGATGGCTCACTTCTATGTACGCTTTTGATTGAATTATGTCAATGAACTTATCAATCCTTCTATTACGATATGAATCATCTTTACAAAAATGTAAACGAAAATTTTATTTAAACAATTTGTCACAGCAACATTTATAAATATTATTTCTTGAAAAAAAAAAATATTAAATTGGTTTGAAACGCGTTTAAAATTGCATATAAAAAAAACGTGAAGGTTTTGAAAGCTTATATCAGTCTCTATGTTAAATTAGAAAGAACTGACAGAAATTATAAGGGTGAGTATTGTAATGCATTGTAATGCAAAATTTATGCTATTTAAATTCAATTCTCTTCTATTGGGTTAAAAATTTACGAAGAATCTTTATAAAATATTATGTCTAACACTTTAAGTTTTGTTTTAAATATAAACATGATTCGATATTTTACTTCCTATGGTGAAATCAAACATTTATATACTAGCGATAAAAATTTTCATATACTTACTCAATGTTTTCCTTTTCAAGCCTACTTGAGCTATAAATTTTTTTTATATAAATAAATTTTGATTTTATGATCTTTAATGGAATTTGCGTGATACCGAAATCAAGCAAAAAGTATATTTTTGTAACATTAAGGATAAACCATTAAAATATATTGCTACTAAAGTATTTTGCTTCTAATATATATATTTCTACAAAAAATTGAAATTAAATATTTAAAAATATAAATAGACCGCATGTTTTGATGAAACCATGCTAAATTGTTCGTAAATCAACAGGGAATGGCAAATATCTTATAGAGTTCTTTAAAGACAAAAGTCATGTTATTAAAATCTTCATTATCCTGAAAAAAGATTACAACCGGGTTTAAGTTTGTATACACACGTGTAGATTTTTAAAGTATTATGATGCTTTAAATGTTCTTGTTGAATGCATGATCACCAGTTGAATTTATATTGATAAATAAAACCTTTTTATGGCATAGATTTTACTTTTTGCTTTTAAATGAAAAATGAATGGGACGGATGTGAACGAATATGCATGCAAATATTTCAGAATGCACTTGAAATCATGTGCCAAAAATATTCAATAAATCAATTAAGTTATTGATGTTCGATTTTCGAATTTTTAAATAAACCAAACATCAAATCAAGGTCCCCTAGCTTCGAAAGCAAGTATTTAAATATATCAGGATTATGTTTGAAGGTTATTAAGTTCATACTTGCATCCACATTTCACGCTTTTACTTCGATACGCTCTGTCCAAATTGCAAGAATTTAAGAGATTCCCTCAACCTGGTCCAACTTTTAAAAGTTCGAACTTATGGTTTAGTAGTGTAAGTTTATGGACCATTCGATGCGCAATTCCATTTCCTACAGATATATATGCTTTATATGGGGTAATAATGCTCCCTTTTCTTAGAAACTGCAAAAAACATGAAAAACGACCCAAAAGTAAAACCAATAATTTACACGCTGCTATGCGTGGAAGTTATTTTGTTCTATTTTATCATCTAGAAATCATGATAAAAGTTTGTTTTTTGTTTTGTTTTTATTATTCAATATTTTTAAACTTTAATTAATAATCTTATACTCGTTGCAAGGAGTTGAATATAATTTTGAAAAAACACGACTTACGTAGAAAGCCACGAACTTCCACGCTTGACTTACGTTATATAACATAAAAGTTGCCAAATTGCT